TTTATGACAACTTGGAGCTTGAGAGCTAAAACTTTAGTATTAATTTATGATAACTTAATCTTTGTGCAAGTTTAGTTGTTAGTTCGAATGCGGATTGGGATATGCTGTTCGAATCAACTCATGCACAGAATGTTTTTTTTTTTTTTGTTAACCAGAGATGGGAAATGTGATAAATATTCATTTACTTCATTGTCACACAACGCGTTTGGCGATTATAAGTTGTACGAAGATGGTTTTGCAGCAGTTTGATGATTTATATAACAGTTACATTTGTGCAGACTAGTGAAGCATATAGTATGAGCTAGGTTAGGTTTTGTTGTTAAATTTGAATTGATTTGATGAATTTTCTGTAACTTGGCAGAGGTGTAACAAAATGAGATAAGTGGTTTTCACAAAAGCCTTAAACCTTATTATGTCTTGGTCATGGCTTGTCTTGGATATTTTTTGTAACTGTAAATGGGTTTGTAATCCCTTTCACATGTTCAAGCATTTAGGGGGTGTTAGACATGTCACGAGCCGACCCTTAGGGCCACGGTTCGGTCCCGGGCCATACATTTTTTTTTTTTTACCCGCCGGTCCGGGTCGGGCTGCGGTTCGGACGGCGGGTCACGTTGTTATTTTTTTTTATTTGTTTTTTCCTTAAGGCCGTCCCGGCCCTTGACCCGCCAGGTCGGTGAACCGGCGGTTTGGCCCATAATTTATTTCGGGGCGGTCACGGGTCATGGTAGGGTCGGCGGGCCGGACTGAGACGAGGCCCAGCAATTGACCACCTCTAGGGGGTGTACTTGTATACAAATATATCCGCTCAAAATGATTTTTTTTTATTAACCAGGTTAAATTTAAAAAAGTTGGTAGAATTAGTTATCAGTGAGATTTTGAATTTATACTTAAATAATATTTAAAATAAAATAATTAAAGTTTATTTGATATAAAAGTATGAGAGAGATGATGTGAAGTGATTATTAGTTACAATTATGTAAGTGGATGAACAGTGAATTAAAATTGTTGTGATATGTAAAAATGATTGGTTGATATTATTTAATTATATTGATAGTATTGAAGATAATGAGGTTGGGTTAGTTGATTTAGATATTGAGTATGAATTGAAATAATTTATAACCAAACACACCTTTAATATTTGTTGTAATCTAATTGATATTCATTATAACAGACAACAATCTGATTTTATGTGATTCATGTTGATAATATTTCGTGTCAATATAAACATGAAAACACGTTTTAAGTTCTAACCATATTATTATTTTTTTCTTAAATATTAACGTTTTATCCTAAGAGATTTTATGGAAAATTGTAACACTGTAGGTAAAATTCTCTCTTCCAATTAATCAGTCGAAATCAAGTACATGGATTATGCTTTGTCAATATATTACTTTCGTAAATTATATAATATTTTTAACAATCTATCATGAAAAAAGCTACTGAAAATCAGAAGTACACGTACAAATTCACTTCGAAGCTCACTGATCATTGTGAAGCTTGGCTGATCTGAGGATTTCTTCACTGCTGCAACCGCAAGTGAACTTCCTGAAACCCGAAAGAGAAAGAGAAGCGCATTGGGTTGTTTCATGGGCCTTTTGGGCTCTTTATGGATACTCTTTTGGGTCATTATTAAGGCCTTGTAATCTTATCCCAGTCGCATTTGGGCATAATAGGTAGAATGTATATATAATTATGATCTTGTTATTGTTTTTTTTCCTAAACGATAGAATTTATAAATATTCACAAAACAGACGAACTAGATCACGGCCACACAAACCGGCTACAACAGCCATACGATCGAAGAAAGCAGTCATCCAGCTGAATTAGCATGTAGAAATACATCAATGGTAACCAAGAACATATCTAAACAACACAAACACAAAAAGCTCTCAAAATAAGTCAAACAACCAAAAGCTCTCACAAGTACAAAATACAAATAACCTACTCCTAACCGGATAGAAGGAAGACAAAACACAAACAAAAATACCTAAAACACAAGGAAAACAACTACACAACCATTCCCGCAACAATTAACCACATGAAGCAAAACAACGGTGAAGCTAACGGACATTCACCAACATGGATAGAGTCATGGCCAGAGTCAGAATCAGAAACTGCAAAACAACGCTAACTGGATCAGACACCAACGGACCCAACCAACGTCCAAACGAACAATTAGAAACCCGCGCCTGGAGGCCCTCACCACAAACCACCCAACCCAACACCGACGACTTAGGCCCAAACCCCATAAACTCCGCCCCTGGCCCTAACTCGTCGACCGTCCTCTCTGACCAACACCATAAATAGGAGGGATACGACGGAGAATGGCGGAACCCGCCACCTTGATACCCACAAAAAAGAGAATCGAATCCGCGACCCACCCTAGTGAAATGCCATAGGCACCAAAAAGTTGGTCTCTCTCCTCTCCTTCAAGTGACATGAAACCCACGGAAAACTATTAAGGGATTTGAGCACCTTCTCAGCTAGTAAAACACAATATCCAGAACGACGATTCTCAGATAATCGGGCATCGTGGCTTAAGGACACCACCTCCAAAAAGCCTCAAGCAGCCTCGTTGGGGAAGGCGCCGAAATTGAAGAAAGGAAAGGCAAAGATTAGCCTTTTTTTTTCAAAGAGGAGCGAGAGAGGAGCGTCGTGCTTAAACACTCTTTTAACCTATAACTTTTTTGAATATCCATGTCCTTGTATTTTGAAAAGCCATGTCCCACACATTTTTTAACTTTCTACCTTAAAATCTCTCGCATAGTCGTTCTGTAATGATCATGTTGTAAAATAAATGTTCTCTAGATTTATTTCATTTAACTAAGCTAAATTGCAAACTACCAAGTCCTAACCTTTGTTTTACTTATAATTTAATTTTCACAATAAAAAGGCAAGAGTTTTCAATTTTGTCATTTATTTTCAATTCTTTTCTTCCTCTTTTCATATATTAGATTAGATAACGAGCCACAAACATAAAGCTTTTAATAATGGGTTTTGGACCGTGTGCTTAATGCTTCAATTCACAAAAATCAAAAGTTTTTTCAGTATATGTTGTAAAAATGGGTACGATTAAATTACAAACAAAACAACATCTTCTCATGGATGGCAGCGGATAGGTTTCGATTCGGATATCCGCGGTTTTTGGTTCTGCGGTTTTCGGTTTTGGTTCTCAAATTTCACCCACGGTTTTGCGGTTTCGGGTACCTGAAAGTCTTCGGTTTTGGTGCGGATCCTATATTTCGCCCGTGGTGCTCCGTTGGGTGCCCAAAATAGACGGCCCATCAAAAAGCCCACCAAAAACCCTAGCTATATAAGTGGAAATTTCCTCTGCGCTTAGGCAGTACTTTTGGACAGTGTGTGGCTCAAGTGAAGATGAATGCCTCAAGTGTCTAGTGGTGTTTTTTTTTAAATAATTCTGGACAGTATGTGTGTATGTGTGTGTGCCCGAAGGCCTTGAACTTCTATTTCTATGTTTCTGGAGTCTGGACATGGGCTGGGCAGTGGGCACATGGCTTGGCTTAGTTATGTACTCTACTACCTTTATGGCTTGTACTGTACGTTGGTACTTGTTAATTTGTGACTGGTTGCCTGGTACTCTCTAAGTTATCATGTTTTATGTTATTGTCTTTGGTGTTTTATTATAATATTTTTGGTTTTTTGGGTATCCGTTTGGTTTTTGGG